GAGGAACATCCACTGATCGGGAATAACTGAGGACTATTGATTTAAGCGCTGCACTATTTCTTTGATAGTAAATGTACTGTGGCTGGTCGGCAACCGGTTAAAGAAGAACTTTGTCCATAAACAGATATTCCCTTTTCACCTCATGGCAGTACACATACAGTGAATATAAAAAAGTCTACACACCCCTGTTAAAATGTCAGGTTTCTGTGATGTAAAGAAATAAGATAAATCAATTCAGAACTTTTTCCACCTTTTTAATGTGACCTATAAACTGTACAACTCAATTGAACAACAAACTGAAATCTTTTAGGTGGAGGAAGTAAAAATAAAAAAACTAAAATATGATTGCATAAGTGTGCACACTCTATACACTAGCCCTCCAGAGGATTTACCCCCTTTCCTGACCAGACAATTTTTTGCAATACAGTGTTGCATTACTTTAACTGACAATTGTGCAATCATGCAACGCTGCACCCGAATTACATTTGTCTTTTTCCTACAAACAGAGCTTTCTTTTGGTGGTATTTGATCACCCCTGCGTCTTCTTTTTTTATTTTTTGCGCTATAAACAAAAATAAGACCATTTTGAAAAAATATATATATTTTTGGATTTTTGCTATAAAACCTATCCAGTAAACAATCTAATTTCGGCATAAATTTATGCCATAATGTATTCTGCTACATGTCTTTTGCAGAAAAAAAAAAAAATCCCAATATGTGTAAATTAGTTTGTGAAAGTTCTAGCATCTACAAATGGCAGTGTATATATACTGGATTTTTTTTATACTAGTAATGGTGCCGCTCAGCAACTTATTGCAGGACTTCAGCGGGTATTCTGACACTGGGGGGGAACGAACTGTCACTGACATCCCCAGTGACCCTAATACAGTGATCAATGCTAATTAAAAGCACTGACACTCTACTAATGACACTGGGCAGAAAGAGGTTAACTTCTGGGGTGATCAAAAGGTTAACTGTGTGCTTTACTAGGGAGGCATTCTGTTTTGCATTGCTCTGCTCTACAGTCTTTTTTGGGTATGAGTCTATCAGAATGGCACATCTTGATTTGGCAATATTTGCCCACTCTTCCTCGCAAAAACACTCCAAATCTGTCAGATTTTGAGGGCATCTCCTGTGCACAGCCCTCTTCAGATCACCCCACAGATATTCGATTGGTTTCATGTCTGGGCTCTGGCTGGACCATTCCAAAACATTAATTGTCTTCTGGTGAAGCCATTCCTTTGCTGATTTGGATGTATGCTTTGGGTTGTTATGCTGAAAGATGATGTTCTTCATGTTCAGCTTTCTAGCAGAAGCCTGAAGGTTTTGTACCCATATTGACTGGTTTTTGGAGCTATTCATAATTCCCCTCTACCTTGACTAAGGCCCCAGTTCCAGCTGAAGAAAAACAGCCCAGAAACATGACGCTGCCACCACCATGCCTCACTGTGGGTATGGTGTTCTTTTGGTGATGTGCAGTATTTTTGCGCCAAACATATCTTTTGGAATTATGGCCAAAAAATTCATCCTTGGTTTCATCAGACCAGAACACATTTTCCCACATGCTTTTGGGAGACTTCAGATGTGTTTTTTTGCAAAATTTAGCCGGGCTTGGATGTTTTTCTTCGTAAGAAAAGGCTTCCATCTTGCAACTCTACCCCATTGCCCAGACATATGAAGAATACAGGATATTGTTGTCACATGTACCACACAGCCAGTACTTGCCAAATATTCCTGCAGCTCCTTTAATGTTGCTGTAGGCCTCTTGACAGCCTCCCAGACCAGTTTTCTTCTAGTCTTTTCATAAATTTTGGAGAAACGTCCAGTTCTTGGTAATGTCACTGTTGCACCATATTTTCTCCACTTGATGACTGTCTTTACTGTGTTCTATGGTATATCTAATGCCTTGGAAGTTCTTTTGTAACCTTCTCCTGACTGATACCTTTTAACAATGAGATCCCAATGAGACTGGAAGCTTTCTACGGACCATGGCTTTTTCTGTAGGATGTAACCAAGAAAATGTTAGGAAAGACCTACTAGAACAGCTGAAATTTCTTTGGGGTTAATCAGAGGCAATTTATATGATGGTAGGTGTGTACTGACACCTATTTAACATAATTTTGAATGTGATCGCTTAATTCCCCCCCCCCCCCCCAAAAAAAATTTATTTGTTTGTTTTTCAATTTAGTATAGTTTATAGGTCACATTAAAGGTGGAAAAGGTTCTGAACTTATTTTTGTTTTTTTACATCACAGAAACCTGACATTTTAACGGGTGTGTATAATTTTTATATCCACTGTACAAGAGTTGAGCTGCCAGCTGAGACCGGTTTCTCAGTTCATCTTTTAACTCCTCCCTGCAATTTAAGTGTCTTCATGTCCATTTCAGTGCATGGCTACGGAATGCCTTGTCATGGAGTGCGTGTTCTACATAGAAACCCCATTATCAAAAAGATACAGAGCTTTTGTAACATCTGCTTAACCTACAATAACCTACACCTAATCTCTCCCCCCAACCTGATGCTTATCCTGTGGTCTTGTGGACTGTTTCATATTTTTGATCTGAGTGTTGACAGCTGAGGAAAGCTAGTGCTCCATGGCACATTGCCACGTGGATTAAAGTGGTTGTAAAAGCTCAGTGTTTTTTTTACCTTCATACTTTCTATGCGTGAAGGTTTAAAAGAAAACCTTTTGTGCAGCAGCCCCCTCTAATACTTAACCTGAGACCCCTCCTGGATCCAGTGATATACACAAGAGCAGTGGCTCTCCTCGGACTATCCCTCATTGGCTGAGACAGTTCCCGCTACTGTCAGTCACAGCCAGTGAGTCAATGAGGAGAGAGTGGAGACGTAGACTAGACACGCAGAACAATGGCTTGGGAGCAAGCCTGCTTGGGTGCCCCCATAGTAAGCTGGTTGCTCTGGAGGTACTCAGCAGGAGGGAGGAATGAGGAGCCCCAGCGGGGAACCCGAGAAGAGGTAGATTGGGGCTGTTCTGTGCAAAACCACTGTACGGAGCAGGTAAGTATGGCATGTTTGTTATTTTAAAAACAAAATCCCTTAAATATTACTTTAAAGACAGATTTACAGACATTTTATAGAACGCCATCAATTTATGCAGTGCTTTGCATACTGCATGTTTACATTATAGACCTTGTCGTCATACCATTTTATTTAAACAAAACTATTCCCATAACATTACTGTATATGTGCATTTTGTGTATTTTATACATGTTCTTTACATGCAAAAGCCTTGTGTAGACATCCAAAATTCCCAAGACTGCTGCTGAGTGCCCCCATTTTGGATGTGATGTCAGACTTTTTAGGAGACTCCTCTATATATTTTTCAATGCTTCTCGCCTGGCAGCTACATAAAAGATTATGTAGGGAGGAGCTGGGCCAGCACACAGAAATTGGACACTCTAGAAAAGGAGTGTGCTGTGACTGTAAATGAGAAGGAAATTGACTTTCGGAAGTCAAACTTTCTCGCAAGACACATTGCAAGTTAATAAAAAAAAAAAATGGAATGCATAAATAATGCAAGCAATTATTTTAAATACTTACAATTTCTGTACATTTAAATGTACTTTTAAATGCAGTGGTAACTATGTATGGTGGTTAGCAACACCGGTGTGCTCCCTCAATGAATTGGAGTGCCATTAAAAATGAAAGCCACCGCAGCGCATCATGGCACATATGCTGTATTACGCATGCATAGTGGTGTGATCTTACGCCATGAAAATGGCATAGAAAAACAGCAGAACTTTGTAGTAAAGCTAAAATAGTGCAAGCCTTGGACAAACATGGCACAGAATGTCCACCTAAAACAAATTAACCTCTTGCATACCACAGTACGTTTTTCAACGGCCGATCGGTGGCCCTTTCTTTACGTAGTGCCATTTATGAATGGCACTGGAAAAATAGCAGTCAGGCGGCCAATTTGCCAGGTGATCACTGTGTGCCAAGCTGACCTGTGGACTGGGTACCAAGTGATCACTCCAATTGGTCATCCAAGCGATAACATGGTACTATTTACATTTCTGATCCTTCCTCTTCCCCTTAAAACAGAGGAAGGAAAGAGATCAAACATTTATGAATGGGCACAAAATGATCAGAACAGCAGCTGCTGATCCATTCATTCTGTTGCAGTGACAGAGGACATTTTTTATTTTTTTTTCACCCTTTTCTGCTCCCTTCCCCCCCTTACACATGCTATATCTAATGCTGTCTCCATGTGACTGGTAAATTAACCCCTCACCTCCCATATACTGCCCATCTGAACATTATCCCCTTTTTCATCCGGCCACTGTGTGTGACCAGTACATTAACCCCTTCACTTCCTCCTTCCAATGTGTATAACCTGTACATTAATCTAGTGCATCATTCTCAAGCTCCATGATTAAACTCCTCAGTATTGGCATGTTGCTTCATTTTCATAAAATTATGGCAAATAAATTACCTTGGGGTGCCTTCTTTCTGAAAAAAAAAGGTAATTTGGGGGAAGGGGGGTGTACTATTCTGGCATTTTTATTTTAAAAGAAAGTAGGAGGAACTTTATTAAATATCACCAAAATAAAGCTCGATCTGTCTTAAAGAAAAAGTTATAAAACAAATTTGGTTACATCGTTGCCTGATGGAGTGATTGAGTAAATTGGCTATCAATCTATCACACTACTGCAAAAAAAATGGTCTCGTAATGAAGGTTAATACAAGGGGTACTTGACTGGTTAAACACCTGATTTCTTAACTTTTTTTTTTTTTTTTTTTTTTCCTCTATGCCAAATTTGTATGTACGAAGTCAATTCCTTTTGATAACGAAGATTGAAAAATTTTGGGATGCAGAACCTAAAGATCATTGCCTTGTTTTGAAGATATCAAATAAGTCTAAGTGACTGACAATGTGAGGCATTTTTATTATGACAAAGCTGTTAATTTTATCTCATGTGTGTGTGTTTTTTGTTTTTTTTTTTTTTTTTTTTTGTTTTTTGTTTTTTTCTTGTAGCCACTTACTTACAGGAGCTACTCTCGGATAGCATGGGTCCATCCTACACTAACCTTTCTCGCATGGGTAATACATATTTGAACCAGCTTGTTGACAGTTGCCTGGCACTGGAGATAAAGGACTCTTCACTAACAAGGTATGACTGTACCTCGTCTGGGTTTTTCGTACAGTAAGTACTGTAGCCTCCAGAATGCAGTTTACCTTTTTTTTTCTGATGCTCCTTAGCTTCTAACAATTTGCTGCTGAAGTTTTTCTTCAGCCTACTATTGCTTAATTCCTACTGGGTAGCAGCGAGCGTCACCTAGCTTCCTTATCGACAGCCTTGTTGTCATTGATACACCCGCTGGAGTACTTTATGCAGTTGATGTCACTAGTGGGTGTTACATTGAGCAATCTGACAGATATGTGTGCTAGCAACAAAACGGTCGCTTACAGTTTTTTTCCCCTGTGACTGCTGCTTATTTTTAATTTTTTTCCAGCTACATCCCGGCAGTTAATGACCTGAGTTCTAAGCTGGTGACAGTAGAGTCCAATAATCAAGAGTTGGAACTGGAGCTGATAAACTTGAGAAAGAAATTGACAAATGCGCTTGTGCTGGAGAAATCCCTGGAACAGTAAGTAGTGCCATGTACCCTTTGAGAATATTAGTCTGTCCACCTGAATGGACATGTGTTTGATAGTTGTTTGGATGTATTGTATCAGGGACTTGGGTGTGCAGACCAAGGGACTGAAGTATGGAATCCTCCTCACCAGGCATGCATTCAGACAAAAATGTAGTTAATAGGACCATGCCGAGAGTATGTTCAAACCGTATTAGTGGTTTTTTTAAAGGCTTAAGGCCTCACTCTCCCCGCTCTTCACAGGACCGAGAGACAGCAGTGGGAACCATTGGCTTCTGCTGCTGTCAATCAATTGTTGTGATGGGGCGGGGCCAAGACACATGGTCTGGTCTGTGTCTATGGATGCAGGCAGCATGTCTCAGGATCGAGCCCACACGAGTGCCCCTATGAAGAATGGCTTGCTATGGGGGCATTCACCAAAGAGGAGGAAAGGCTAAAGATGATAGCATCTTAGTCTTGTTCCTTTAAAGAAACCCTAAAGTAAAATGTTTCTTTCAGGTTCACTGGTTATTGGCCCAGTTCGTATTCTAAAAGCACACATTGCATTGATAAAATTGCAGGATCCATTTGGATGCCGTCAGTAGTTGTCTGCGGCAGCTCCCTCATTTCTCTTCTGAAAGAGAAACAAGTGGAAGTGTAGACTATATGACACTTACTTTAAAATTAGAGGTATAACACCACTGAATTAATAATATTTCTGACACAAAGGGATCTCCGGAAAGCAGAAGAGCAGTGCAGTGTGGAAAAAGCCAAAGTTGAGGTCCGAGCACAAAATATGAAGAAGCTGAAAGACAAATCAGAGGAGTATAAATACAAGATCCAGACTGCTAAGGTGCGTGTAGATCCTAATATTTTCAGATATAGGAGGGAAGTGAGTTGTGCCGACACCACTCTTTTGCCAGCATTGGCCCTAAGCACAAGTGCTTGGCTGAGCATTCACATTTAAAGGGTAACTCCACCTTAATGGGAAAAATATAGCAAAAGAGAGGATGTTCAAATGCTACACAAGTCATTTTGAAGTGCAATGTTCATAAAAATTGCCTTTTCTTTTCAATCTGCAGCTGTGCAATATTCCGTACAATTCAGTGCAATATGGCAACCTGGAGGCCTTCTGTACGCAGTTGGTTTGCAGAACTTCCCTAGAAATGGAACTTCCTACTTTTGTGATTGGTTTGCTTATTTTCTCAGAAGTCTGCCAGATTTTAAGGCATGCTCTGCAACAAAAATGTCACTTTGGTGACAGACCCTGCAACTTTGCACTGCAAGTGCATCAGCTGATTAGAATGAATGCAGACACAGGAATCTGTTTTCCAAGGACATAGTTGAACATACATTTTTAAACCGGTAGGATTCTGCAACAAATTTTGTTAAAATCCTGCAACGTAAATTGATCACCTAAAGGAGGTTTTTTTTTTCTCAACAAAAGTGGAGTTGCTCATTAAGCCTAAGGATCAAGACCTGTCTGTGTGATGGAATAGTGGTACTTTGCAGGTTTGTGTACCTTGTCCAATCAACTGTATTCCTCACACACACCAAAATGTTGACCTGGGTTGTCTTCTGGCACCATGAACTTGAGATGGTCACTTGATCTGGCTAAACATTTGTTTTTTGGTAGGAGCTTATCTCTCATGCAATGGTTTAAAGTGTACGTTCACCTTTTGGAACATGTTACACATTTAGGGTGGAACATGTAACACTGATCTGCTGCCTGCCTGTGACAGCAAGCTGAGGATCTTCTCCTTGCACTTCCTGGCACTAGTTAAAGAAAACGTGGCCGTGCGTGGCTCCGCTTACTTGGCCACATTGTTCATTCACAATGAAGTTCTGTGAATGAAAGAACTACAACTACCGTCAACCTTTCAGCAGTTGCAGCTTGTAGTTCTCAATGAACTACCGGGGCAATGATGAGCACGCTAGGTAATTGTTCCTTCCTATCGTTCAATAACTGCCTGTCAGTACATTGTATATTGTAATGCCCATCTGTTTATGGTAAAATGAGTTGGGCGGTGCCTCCCTCTTGACCTCATCGTGTACAAGAAGGAATCCGGAAGTAAATGGTGTTTTGCCGACTGGGTGAAATATTTAATGCGCATTTATTTTATTGTGTGCAAGTGTGGTTTTTAATACAATAAATGTTTGGTGATATCTATGCAAAGAGAGGTGTATGTTTGCTTGTTATTACATGATGCTTCTTGGTTTGGATGTACTACCTCCATTACCCATGCATCGAAAGGAAAATTTTATAAGTAACAATGCTAAGACCTGTATAGAGAGCTGCTGTTAGGTAAGGAGGTCTTGTATAGCTGTTAAGCCCGCATCCTATTTATCACTTCTGGTGAAGGGTGACACTAGTGTGTGGTGTTTTTTTTTTTTTTTTTTTGTTTTGCTACTAAAGAAGAGGAAAGGAGTCCACACACTGAACTTAAAGCGGTCTTGTTATATATTTGTGCGTATATTATTTTTTTTGTGATCATTATTTTTGAACTAATCTATATTGAGGATCACTATTAATATCACTTTTTTTAGTATTTAACAGCACAACACTTATTATTTTATGGTTTTGTATTGGAGAGGATATCCTCTTGTGTTTGCGGCTTATTTCTCTTTATGCACAGTTTTTTGCGTGGGGTGTGGTTTTTTTTTGTTTTTTTTTGGTTTTTTTTTTTTGTTTTGTTTTTTTTTTTTCTTCTCTGTACAGTGTACAGGCACAGTACTGAGAGGTTCTGCAGGATCCAGGCTTTGCACCAGTGATCTGATTATCACTGGTGCAATATCTTACAGGCTGAAATGTGAAAAAAGAATAAATGCACATATTTTCTACCTGCAAAAAGATATGCATTTATTATTATTTTTTTACAAAGGTGAACTTCCTTTTAACCTTGATAAAATGACATGTTTTTGTTACATTAAATAAGAACCATTAATTCTGAACCCTGATTTCTGCATTACTAGTGACCTCTGAGTCATTACTGACCCCAGAACTCCACGTAACTTACTATAGAGTTTAGGGGTTTAGGAGTAAATGATGCAGGTCTGTAGTGACACAGTGCAGAGGTCAGTAGTAAGTGATCCTCTGTCTCACAGTATAGTCAAATAGCCCTCCCCTGTACAGCTTACAGCTGTTCTCCTTCTCCCTGGACTCTTCACCAAACTTAGGGTACTGCAGCTCTGGCTCTTCTTCCCTCCTCCTCCTCCTTCTGTGGTCCAGTAGGCGGGGCTAAATTACAGTCCTGTTACAGGAGCCCCCTACTACACACGCCCCCTCCCACGCATAAACAAAGGGAGATCTTTACTCAGCTGCAGCTGCCTGTGACAGCACGGCTGCAGCAGAGAAGGGGGAACTGAATGGTGTTTCTTCACACTTGTGCAATATGTGAGGGCACAGTGAGCCCCACCTTCCTTGGGGTCCATGTGCACTGCACCACTGCATAGCTTTTTTTTGGTCTTTGAATGTGTTAGAGCACTAAAATATTCAAGCCCTTAGAACGATTTTGCAGGAAAGCATGATTTAAAGAAAGGGGGAAAAAAAAAAGTCCTGAAAAGTGAGCTTATTGGAAAAGTGATTATATGAATTTCAGATTGAAGTTGTTGGCCTGTCTTAGCTCTAGATAACTTTTTTTTTTTTTTTGTCCTGTAAATCACTTATTAACCATTTCATTTCTCCCCCATTTTAATGCAGGATGAGCTGTCGGCAGCAGGGGTGGAGGATTCTCTAACTCATCGCTCTTTGGTGTCCCTTTCTGAGGTCTGTAGGTGAACTAGGGTTTTTTTTTTGTTTTTTTTTTTTCCTTCCTTTAGTATTAGGTTAGACAGTCTATAGATGGCATGGACATTTAATTGGAACAGCGAATAAACATCCTGCTTCTATACTATGTATAAACCTCTCCAATTACAATTGTTAGGTTAACTGTGCCCAAACACATCAGCTGCTGATAGTTGCTGCTCCTTTAGCTTGAGAATCCCAGTGGTTCAAGGCACCCGAACTGGTTTGAGGTAGGTCCAGTAAAGATGAAATATGTGTTTCTCACTTTTCCCTGGTAAATAGACAAGAATACTTTCAATAGCATATTTAACACACTAAATGAGAGCAAATAAGATACTTTAATTGTTCCGGCATTTGTACACGTTACAGCCAGCAAGTATTTCATATGTTTTGCTCTGTCTCCTTACTAGCTGCTGTAAAAGCCTGTTCACAGAGCTTGATATTTACACACTTACCTGTGGGTAAAGCAGTAATTCCTCTTTTTAGAATGACTTGGCCTGATTTTCAATTAAAGTGAAACCAAGGCAAAGGCAGCTGCTGCTGTGCTGTGGTAAATCTTATTTCATGTATTAAATATTTATTCAAAAACAATTATTTGGGCATACTGGGGGGGGGGGATAAGTTAAAAGAACAAATAAACTCTGTAATGTTTTTGGTTCAATTTAATTTTTTTTTATCGGAAATCCAGGAATGATCTTTGCCATTTTACATTATTCCAGCTTGTAATTATCAGTATCGCATATGTGGAGGGCCACTGGGGATGCATAAAAACCAGTTTATTAACCTATGCTACATACAATGAAAGCGATCTTGCAGGTCCTGCTCAGACATCTTCCCTCTGCACACTGAACACCGGAGTCTCTCGCTGCCACCATTCAGAGAATACCTAGTATTTTTGTTTCATTGAAAAGGGCATTCTCAGAGTGGACAAGGTGGAGTGGAGGGGTGGATGACCTCACAATCTACCCTAGTTCAATTGGAGAATATCTTGTATTTACTGAAAAAAAAAGTGTACAGTGAATGGTAGGCAGTGCGACGTGACCAAGGCCCTGTGTTCAGTGTGCAGAAGGAAAGCTGCTTGAGCAGGACCCTGAAGATCATGGCTATCACTTTATGCAGCGCATACTAATACAGTGTTTTTCAGCATCTCCAGCGGCCCTCCAGATATAAGATATGGATAATTACACCTTTGAAAGCTGGACCAATCTAAGTTGGCAATAAAGATAATTTGTGGA